TCGTCCGATCGTGGGAATTGTGAAAAGTATGCTGGTTGTTTGAGTCAAACCGCAGTGGTGGATGGTGAACTGGGCGTGGAGTTGAGGATCTGAGCCTGGTTCGTCTAAACAGCTTCCTCTGTCATCAGAATTGGATAGTGAACCATGGTGGGAGGAGGATTCTTTAGGGTAAGACGATGGGTTGGATGTCAACGATTGCGAAGAGATTGTCGGGTCTTCAAAAAGAACCATATCTTGCTCGTTGCCCAGGTCCAGTCGCGAGGAAGGCTCGGCGAAGTTTGGATATTTGTCGATGTTTCTAGCAAGTGTGGTCATCGTACGAGGGGCAAGGCTATACGCAAAGGAAGGTATAGATCCTGTAGCGCCAAAGACGTGGTTAGAATAGGTGATTGCTTTAGGCGGATTCAATTTACGATTGCTGTAATTTCGGATCGCGCGTAACTGAGAGCAAGCACGAAGGTAGTTTTCCGGTAAGCTCTCGGGCGTTTTGATAGCTAGCTCAAAAGTTTCGATCCCCAAGGTGATACATTTTCGTGATAGTCCAGACATCGGATGGGTTGGTGTACGGAGAAGCGATATCCAAGCGCAGGTCATTGCAGCATGAAACGTTAGGTACCAACCGTACCACATCCTTCGAGTTGCCGGGAAAAGCTCTACCAGTAACCGTTGGGCTTCAATGATCACTTGAGATGACCTGACGCACTGCTCCTCCGACATTTGGTGTCCAGTGGCCCCGGTAGAATTTTCCAGCGAGAGACTGAGGAACGGGCGATGTAGTAAGAGGAGGATCGTATTTTGTGAGATTGACAACAACAGCGCTTGTTTGGCCAGCATCGGCTCGCGCCGCCGGAGATCCTCGATGCCTACACCGGTGGACGAGGGTTTAAAAACTTTACTATGCGTCTGAAAGGAGCCACTTTGTTTGGCTGGATACTCCTCAATTGGGTCTGGCTCAAATCTCATCGCAACTGGCACACGGTGATACCAAGTCTATAGCAGAAACGACAGAAACATGCAAATAAACATTTGATGTGTAGAAAGACAGAGGCAATTTAAAAATGATGGAATACCTTGATAGTAGTATCCAACTTGACGACCTCTTCGTACTTTGGCCCATTTTGAGGTTCTGTTGATTTTCCCCAGCCCCAAACTGCTTGTCCAAATATTCTATCCATCATATCACGAGCGTATAGACACGTCTCCCTGTGATTGAGAGCAGCCAAGCGGATATTAGTTTGGGATGGAAACCTAAACAGATAGGTATATGAGATACGAGTTACCAGTTGAAGACATGGTACGTTAGCTCCGTCACGCCTTGTGGGGGTAAGATGGGAGTGGTGGCTAGCGCTTGTCCCATTAAACTTTCTTCCGTTCGATCCGAGGGGAGATCGGAATCACTCAGAGTGACGCCGGCTGGCCATCCAAATGCAATGCCTAGAAATACATCCCACGTCTGGACTGACCACCAAACCCGGCGACGCAATTCCTGCTCAAGGACAGGCATGTGCGGATTGAGACTTGATGGGTCTATGTGCAAGCCCAAACATTGGGCCTGTTTAATGACTCCACCAATAAAACACCACGCATCTATGGCAAGACCCAGTTCAATTAGACCGCCAAGTAGCTGAAGAATCTAGTGGTGAGGCGATTTTATGAGACAGGAAAACTTACCAGTGCAACGATCATTGTTGACCATATAAAGTACGAGCAATAATTGGGCTTGAATACACTCAATCGACGGATGTCCTAAATAAGACGCTAGTTTGAGAGAGTGGACCGTGCAAGAGGCTGCTCGAAAAAAAAAAAAACTGGCTGAGAAAGATGTGGTTGAGAGGTAATCAGAAGCAGAGGCGGGAGCAACTTACCTAACTTGTTAGAAAATGAAAAACGCCATGCTTTCAACCTTTTCTGATAGTCTTCTTTAGCCTCTCCGACCATCATCGGAGGGGCATCTAGGATGTGACTTGCAAGGTCAGATGTAGCGGTGAGTATGCTAAGGATGACACTCAATTGGCTGAAAGGTAGTCGCTCCTGTTCCGACCTGGATGATGAGAAAAATCCTTGATACAAATCGATGATTGTTGGAGTATGCCATGCGCTACAATACACTTGGAATTAGCTGATTGAGTTCTGCCAGTTCTAGACATCAAGTCAAACATACTGATAAAAACAATCCACGTCCTGCAGAAATGCTTCCAGAAGCCTGTTGGAAAAAAAATTGTGATCAGGATCGGCCGTCTACTCCAC